TGTGGCTAATGTGGTGGTGGTGGTGGTGGCGGGAAGATAAATTTTTTTAAAATTTTTTTTTTCTTTTTATTTATAATTTCCACATATAAACATGTGTGTGTGTGTGTGTGTGTGTGTGTCCACAGTGGAGTAAATGGCAAGAAAAAAAAAGGGGAAAAAAAATGGGGGTTAGGGGAGGGCGACGGCCGTGACGGGCTGTTTTTTTTTTTTTTAATATAAAATAAAACGAAAAAAAAGAAGAAAAAAAAAAAGGAAAAACAACACACAACCAAATATGATGAGGACGCTGAACGCCCGGATTCTTACGGGCCGCTTTTTGTTTGAAATGAAGAGATTTGTGGAGTTAATTGTCCGAGTGGTTGTCGTTGCTGCTTTCACTCTTTGACATTTTCTCTCTCTCTCTCTCTGTCTGTGTGTTTTCGCTGTGCGGCGATGAAATGAGGGACCCAATGAGTGGATGGGAGGAAGAAGAAAAATTGGTGGCGTCCTTCTCTTTTTTTTTTTTTTTTTTTTTTTTACGGACATCGCGGCGGAGAGGCACATTTGCGGGGTGTTGTCGCCTCTCCGTCCCTCCCTCCTGCGTCCACTGCACATTCGCTTGCCTGCAGGAGGGGACGTCATGAGCATTTATTTATTTTTCTTCTTCTTTTTCCACACGCCTCTTCTCTGAGTTGGAGAGTCAGCAGTCTTTTTATTCATTGCGTGGTGCACGGCGTCTTTTTCTGGACGATCGGCGAAGGACGCAGGGCACGACCAACAACAGCAAAAAAAAGGGAAAAATAAAAAGACAGTTGGGAGGGGAGGGCAGGGATTAGGAGATGAACTTGGATATTTGTGTGACGCTCTCCGAACTAGCCAAGTTGCCTCGTGGGGTGCCGCACGGCGGGAAGACTCTTATGTGCCGGGCGGAGCGTGTCTTTGCATCGCGCCCCCGCGAGTTTTGTGCAGGGCGAGTATTTAACCTGAGCTGTAGACTGCTTGACGGCGACTACAAGGAGCACTGCGAGGAGGAATACGCGCATCTTTACTTTTACGATGACTGGGCCTTTGCGGCCTCTTTCATTGAGGAGGGTGACATCGTTATCCTGAAGGGATTCACCGTACATGACATTCCCTGCATTGGAGGGGAAGATCCCAAGTTTCCCTTCTTTGTTGCGCCGATTTCAACGTCCTCAACGCTGCGGGTATTGCAAAACGGATTGAATGATGATGTTATGGAAGTGATGGTGAAGGCGGATAGACTGGATGTGCCCTGCGTGCGTGTTTTGCCAAAGACGTTGCG